GGGGGGTAAAAAAAAAAAAAAAAACTTATCAAATTAAACAGAAAAAGAAAGAAGTATGTATTTAGGTAAAATCATCATACTATATTTTTTTTTTTTTAAATCTGAATCTTCTAAATTCAATCAAAACGAGCATCGCAAGCAAAGTTAAAGATAGGGCAAAACCTGTGAAAAAAGGACAGGTTACGAAGCTTCGCAAGTTCGATGAGAGAAGATGCCTGATTTCTTCACCGGGAATTAGGATATAGAAACAGAGAAAACGGGTGCTGACGATTCACAGAAATCCCGGAGCGACGAGGGAGAGAAGACGAAGAAAATGAAGTCGTATTCGGGAATCAGGATCCGCCCGTCCCGTTATAGGATCCAGAGCTCGAGAAGGTCGAGTGAACCAGCATCAAATCAGCGTCGACCTAGCCAGTCCGAATATGGGTCCTCTCTTATTTCTGGATTGGGATCTCTTCTCATGCCACGTTCATGCAATTAATAATTAATATCAGATTATTACCTATCAAAGCTTAGGGTGGTTGATAGGTTGGGAACACCCATCTCGGATTCAAATCCCCTCTGCTACGGCCTTGCCTCTTCAGTAGGACAAAGCAAATGTAGGTATGATACCGGTGGATGGCCTCACTAGGTTCCGCCGAGGTTATAGTTACGCCGCCAATATTCGTTCAAAAAAATATCAGATTATTTATATGATACTAAGACTTCGTTTGGAACGGCATTCTTACTGCTTCATAAAGCAGCTTTTTAGTACTAAAAAGCTGATTTAAGATGCGGTAAGAAAGCCGCCCCAAACCAAGCCTAAGGCTTCGTTTGGGACAATTTTTTGCTGCTTTCTAAACGACTTTCTTTCTGCTTCTTAAAGCAACGTTCTATCACAAAAATTTTAATTTTTACACTAGAAAACTGCTTAAAGAAGCAGAAAGTCATCCTAAACAAAGCCTAAGGCTATGTTTGGGAGGATTTTCTTATTGCTTTGTAAGCTAATTTTTAGTTAAAAAATCTCTTAAAAATAGAAAAAAAATAGTCATTTAAAACTATCTCAAACCACATCTTAGGCTTTGTTGTAATAGTTTTATTGTTGCTTTATAATGTAACTTTTTAGTACGAAAATATCTTAAATTAAAAAAATTTTATACATACTAAAAAATTGTTTTATAAAATAGTAAGAAAGTTATTTCAAACGAAACCTAAATATGTACTATCAAATACAGATTAAATACAAGAGAGGAAAGGTAAGGGAGAGAGTGGAGACTAGAAAAGCTCAAAAGAATTTTTAGTAATTGTTATAAAAAAGTTTATATGTGCTTTGAGCTAATAAGAATATATTTGGTCAAGATTTGACATTATATGAATGATTATATTTGAGGAACTAAAATAAAATTATGTAATCTTAATAATGTTTGCTGTAAGAAATATGAAAGTCTTTCGAATGTGCTTTGTCAAAAAACTTCAACTTATGGAGTCATAATGCAAATGACAAAATCTTTTGGCTAACTCACTGGCAAGTTCTATGGCATGAGATTAGAGAAGATTTCTCTAGCAAGTTCATTCTGAGAAGCTGAGTTCTTTAACAAGGTCATTTTAAGTGAGTCAATAGTCTTAAGGCGACTTGATCTGAATTCTGGTAGGGTTACTCAGACGATTATACAATCTACATTGAAGGAAAGGATTCTGAAATCTCAAAAATCTGACGAAGAATATTTCAAGTTGGTTGATCAAATTTAATTTGGTAAGAAACCTAAACTACGAATATTGATTTTGGTGTGATTTTCTGCAATAATAGATTGTGACGGCAGCGTGAATATGAGAAAAGATATTTTGTATGAAGCAAATTATTCTGGATATACTATTCACCCTGGGCGCAATAAAAAGTATAATGATTTGAAACAATTATTCTAGTGGCTAGGAAAGGGAAGTAGCTGATTTTGTATCTAAGTGTAAAGCTTGTCAACTGTTCAAGGCAAAATATCATCGACCATGTGGTTTACTCCAATTGTTTCCCATTCCTAAGAGGAACTAATTATGGATTTTGTTATGGATTTGTTCAGTTGAGGCAAGAGCATAATGATATCTAAATTTTGATAGATTGTTGACAATATCTACACATTTGCTTTTGATATGATAAATAGGCTCTATAGATAAATTGGCATAGATATGTGTGTGCGAGATTGTCAGACTATATGGGATACCCAAGAAAATCATTTTTGACCAGGACAAAACTACATTACAGTACTGCTTTTCATCCACATATGGATGATCATTCTGAAATGATTATTCACGCACTGAAAGATTTTCTGAGACTCTGTATTTTAGATTATGGTGGTACCTAAAAACATCACATTCCTTTGATTAAATTTGCATACAATAATAACTTAAGTCTAGTATTGATAAGTTCTGAATGATAGAAAATTTAAGACATTTGTTTTGGACAGAGGTACGAGAAAGAAATTTATTGGCTTCCTACACCGTCAAACCCACTTCCACCGTGCCGAACACCCAAATACAATTGATTCTTGCTCACATCCAACTGATATCGTGCCTGCTTGAAATCCTCAGACCCCAACTCATGCAAACTCCTGATCCCGCCGAACTTTGCTCGATTGAAGACTTCAGCAGCCTCCTCAAACCTCCGACCCGAGCTACCTCCCAAGCCCCGACCCGCAGCCGACCCCAACCAGCCGCAACTCATTCGATTCCTTCCATCCAACCCAAGTGCCCGTAGCTCGTGAAGGTAGTTTTCTATTTAATCCTTTTTTTTTATTTTTTTTTTGTAAATTTTAGTTAATTATTATTATAATTAGTATTATCATATATATGATTAAAAGAGAAAAAGAAAGTCAAAAAAGAAAAAAAAAGGAAAAAAAAAAAAAAAAAAAAAAAAGCAAAAAAAAAAAAAAAAGGAAAAAAAAAAAAAAAAAAAGAGAAAAAAGTCATTCAAATGAACATTAATGAACAATAAGGAACTTGTGTTCAACAGAACTCCAAGCAAAGATCAACAGTAATTGAGGAGGATATGTACTCTACTTGCAAGCAAACATAACAACCTCCTACAGCCGACACAAAACAAATATACCGACTTTCATCAAGTAGAAGAAGTTGGCAGCTGATGAATGCAATAACCTGATAACCAAGGTATATGCTATGAGTTTAAAATATGCAGTTTACATGCAATCAGTGTTGCCTAGTCACAAAGAGGCACAGTGGTTGCCTTACGGGCAATTTACATAAGATAGCAGCACGGTGATTCACCCACGATCACATATGAAGAATGTAACATGATTGGAGATGAAGAAGTGAATGTTATTGTGAAGATAATCTGCTTACACCAACAATTGTTAATTAATAAACAAGTGCATTGACCGGCTTATGAGCAGCGACAGCCGATGTAGCAACTTGCCATCTAACATGTACAGATAATCATACTCCCTACATGACACCTACAAGCAGTGATGAAAAATGTGCTGCAAGTATGATAGATCCCCTGCAAGCAAAGGTGATCGACATGTAACAAATATAACAATTTCCCTACGTCTGATGACATCTGTTTGCAGATATATGTGGCAATTCCCATGAACATTGGAAGACATGCAAGTGAATGCACTAGTCAATATACAGGACGAAATTAATGATGAATGTAGTCCAATTAGTAGCCACATTAACATGCCAACAACCACATAATGCCTGATTGCAAATAATAATATTCCCTACAAACACTCACTAGCAATGATGATAATAGATATGTTGCAAGGATGTTGAGTCACCTGTGAACAATACACATACAACAGGATATTTGCGAGTAGGGACTGAAGATCGCAGCAAATACAGGAGGACTACAATAGATACAAGTGCCTATGAACCGCAGTAGAAAACCCTTGCGGAGAATAACCACGCTGAGAAAGAAGCGTGCTCATTTTATATTGGACTTGAGGGTTTTGTTGATCAGGCAAAACTAAGTACTCCAATTAATAACTCTAGAGACTCTGATAATGATAGTTGGGATAAAGGCGACTCGGTGTAATGAGAAAGCCCACCGACAACCAGAAGAAGGTCCTAACTGTGGCACTAAGCATACAAGGTTGAATGATTCTGTATAGTCAAAGGATGATCAGTTGAAAAATATATCAACTTTGTAGAAATATTGAAGCCTATGGAGAAACGCTACATTAATTGAATGAATAATAAATATCTGAAGATTAAACTTCACAATCTAATGTCCTATGCATGCATCATTAAATGTTGCAATTGTAGGTGGAAGGGAGTTGCCTTAGATCATTATGTCAAGGACTATAGGAGAAGCTTCAACATCACATATGCATATCATATACTAGAATATCGTTGGGATACTAAAAACTATCTTAAGCTTTATCCTATTCATGCTTCGAGGAGACCTGATGGGGACATCAGTTGGAAAGTCTACCGTCGACGTGGCCGTAGATCTACGGCTACGATTTACCCGATGTTTAGATCTCGTTGTTAAACAAGGGTTAAGTTGGAAACTACTTCGCATGCAACGTTTTAGTTTTCCTATGTGTTTTGATCTAGCTTAGTCTCTTGTGTAGTTTAGCCTAAGCGAAAGTAACTACTTAATTGTTTTACGTTGTTGTTTTAATCGCTTTAACGAGAATCTAAAGTTGCTCTTAAAATCTTTGTGCAAATCTCCAATTACGCATATAGTTCTACATCAAGACCACCCTGTGACTAAGTGAAAACAAACAAATCTAATAGTACATCAACCGAGCATTTGGTCTCATTAGATTATGATACCTCACTGTTGAACATCCAAAGGATTGCAGTCCCTTGAAAATTGACAAAGTATTATAGGAGAGGCTTGAGACCGTTGAAACATTAGCTCCGAAGGAAAGAACGAGTGCTCATCATACGTTGTTCCTTAACGTTATTACTGCTAATGATCAATAAATGTTGTACGAAAATGCACTACTAGACAACACTATCTGATCCACAATACTCGTACAAGCGGACATAATGTGTTTACAAAAACCAAAGTGAAATCTCGTGTATTTGTCAGCAATAGTCACCTATACAACTGACTACATTTAAAGATGCCAAAGAACACCCTTCATGCATTGAAAAGTGTGTTGACACATTCATAGCACGCATACATTTGGATGTCATTTGACATTGCAATTACACTCCATTATGTCCTCTGTATGCATTTGCAATATACAATGGGTTTTATTCAAGCATATTATTTGACATTGCAATTACACTCCAAAATGTTCTCCTGCATACATTTGCAATATACAGAGGGTGCCGCTCAAGTATGACATTTGACATTACAATTACACTCCAAAATATCCTCCCATATACATTTGCAATATGTAGAGAATTTCATTCAAGTTGTTCACTATTGCATTTGCATGCAAATTCAGCATACACTGCAACTAAACAGTATACA